TTTGTCAAGGGATGCAAAGCCTTTCAAAATTGCACATGAGGAGGCGGTAAAAAAATTGCTGCCATTTGCAACAACCTACCTTTGTGAACAAGGCTTTTCCACTCTAATGAAAATAAAAACGAAAAACAGAAATCGATTAAACGCCAAAGACTGTATTCAAATTGCTCTTACATCAAAAAGTCCCAATTTTAAAGTAATTATACCAAACATGAAGCAACATCATGTTTTCAAAACCTAAAGGGGGAAAGTTTTCAATTAATTTTTGTTTGTTCCAATTTAAGAATTTGATTTTGTTTGTCTATTACTATTTGTTACTATTTTCATGTAACTTTTTTTTTATAAATATGTAAATGCAAATTAATTCAATAAATAATGTTTATTTAAAATTGATTGTTTTCTATTCAGAATGGGGGGGGGTAATATCGACTTACGCAATAATATTTTGGGGTAATGGTTAAAAAAGTTCCCCGACCGCTGTCTTAAAAGAATTATCAATTGCAAATGAAAATAGGGTTTTTATATTACTTGTTATATGTATCTGACTTTATTACTATTACAAGTACATGTGAATATTGAGGTAACAAATCTTCCAATAAATGATCAAAAAAACTTATAACAATAAGAATATTGTTGGGCGTCATTAAATTTATGTAATTTAATTGTCCAAATAATAGTTTTGTTTGTTTTTAATATTCAATAATTCTGATTTAATTGATGACCAAAATCAGAAGATTGTTTTGTTTCTCTCGAAATGTGCTTTGCATACAATTTAGATTCCACTCGAGTTATCAATGTAAAACATGTTCATTGCGTGCACAGGGTTGTATACATATGCGTATAATTATGTTTGCGTTCGTCGTTGATGTGTTATGGTGCTTTGCGTTCCAAATACCCAAATGGCATTACATAAATATGATTGTAAAAAGGCTCTCAGTTTAATATTCAAACCTGCACATTTGGTGACACACTACACTACAAAAGAGATCCACGTGGCATGAAACCCATAAACACAAAAGAAAACGAACCACAGGAAACGTTGCTTCGTTGACGCACGACGAAACGAAATAAAGTAAAAAAAGGAGAGAAATACAAAAAAAATATACTAATCGATTACATCATTTCGCAAAGGAGAGAGAGAGAAAAAAAAACGTAGCAATAAAAAGCCGAGAAATAGTTAAATAAAATAAAGAGCACATGAAATGAACGTAAACGTATGCCCCGGCGATAGCAATCACGAATTCGTTACATAAATCCATTCCCGGTTTGTCTTATATGCGCAAAACGAACACACTCGATCAAAATAACCGTTTATTCCTAATTCGGAATTTATTAACCCTCATCTCTTGATTTATCGTTTTCCAATCTCCACTCCGGAGAAAGTCCCGAAAACTTTATTCGTAGATCTGAATTAAATTTTTGGTTTATTTATTTATCGATTTCAATATATATTTATAAATAATATATTATGTTGTATGCGAAATTTCTCCTCGTGCAATAAAATATAAAATGAGGGGGAAAATATCTGATTTGAAAGCTGCAGGATTTGCGCCGATGGAAAATTGCTCTTACGATTATTGTGATTTCGGATAGAAAGTTTTTAATGCACCTTTCCATTTGCGAATCTAGCTACAGCTTCTTGCATATATTGCTAAAAGAAATTCTTATAAATTTATAATTATAATTTACCACAAAAGTTACCTTTTTAAATCATCATCAGTATCGTGTGTTTAAACAACGTGTTTTAGAGTGTTTTGTATACTACAGCTGTATTTGCGTTGATAATTTGGTAAATATATCCTCTTGGAGGAATGCAAAAGTAAATTGGCGTAGCCAAATATTCAGATTCGCAGAATTTTTCGACGGGTTTGCAGCCTGTGTGGGCGTTGAACTCGCTCTCTCGGCCGTCTCTGATCTTGGATAGCAAATATTTGCCACGCCAAGCTCTCGAGACGACCCAAAATGGATATATTTGGATACAATAAGGAGAAATAAGTCAATAAATTATAGGAAATCCAATAACATCCTTAACCTTTATAACCAAGTTTTAAACATAATTCCATAATAATAACGATTATTATTGTATAGCTAACAAAATATGAAAGGAAAATAACTGATCTTTGGCAGTTATTCATCCCAACAATGCATAGTTGTACTGGTTAGTTGTTAATTACTTATTATTGAAGTAATCCAAGTACCGTAACATTCGTGTTATTAACACGTGAAACATTCATACAATTCGCCAGGTATAAGTTAAAGGACAATTATAGAGAATTCTCGGTCTCCGACGACCGGACTGGACGGGATATGGCCGTATATGGTTTTCGCAAAACAGAATCACCCCATTTGTAAATAACTATTCGTTATTTTTTTTCCTCTCTTCTTCTTCTATTGCTTCGTCCTTTTTTTCTTCGATTCGTTTCGTTGCGTTATTTATTTGAGTTCGAAGTGTATTTCACGTTCGCAGCTTTCGCAAATTGCGTACGGCCGAGGAGACATAAAGTTCGTTCGAATGAATTGAATCAAGTGAAATATCTGTGTGAGCGCACGTAGGAAGTTTATCGTTCCCCAAACCGTACGAAAATTGATCTCCAGACGCACCATCCGAGTGCGCTCCGTTTCCTTTAACGAAGCCTTACGTAATTATTGATTGATCACTGATGGCAAACTTATACGAAAAAACGAACACAGTTTGATCATGTAACATTTTTTTTTTTACAAAAGTTATAAATATGTAACATCAATAAATTAAGATTTATTTCTTTACTTTTTGACAATAATAAAATAACATTTTGGAATAATAGTAAAATTCATATCCAAATATTATACGTAACTTTAAGATATGAAACAGTATATAAGAGATTTATTAAAAAAATAATGATAATACTGGGTAAAGTAAAAAGTTTTCAGCGTTTTTCTTTAGACGGCTGTATTGAGCCATATCTCAGGATGTATACTTGCATCTTGTCATTCTATACTGCGACTTAAAGGCGACATATCGCTTTTAAAAAAAGTTTTTTTGACAGTTTTATGTTTAGTGAATCCAGTTCAAAAATTCAATACATTCTTCAGTACCACCACGACCAAGCGTTTGTATTGTTTATGGACCCAATACAGTATCGAATTCAACAACAAAGTGTTGGTTCCAATGCTTCCGTTCTGGAGGACGTCGAAGATGAGACATGCTCTGATAGGCCAATCGTCGAAAATGTTGATAAAAACATGGAAATCGTCGAGTCGGTCCGGCATGCGAGCATTTATTCCATTCCCCAGGACCTGAAGATTAGCCAGAAAACCATTTACAACCATTTGCTTAAGGCTGGTCTCAAGAAGAACCTCGATATATGGGACAAAACGCTCAGAACTTAACTTATTAATTTTTCATGGAAATATAGGCAGATAACGGCTATAGTAATCAAAGCACGGCAATAAAAATCCAAAAAAAAATCCTAATAGCATTTATCGGCCAATTAAAAGAATCTCTCGCGATGGGAAAGTGATTAGGCGGATTTCGCGCCCCGTTACACGATTACCGTTGTACGCACAGAATCGCGTCCACCACGTATCGTTTATTTCTTCGATGATGATGATGATGTTCTCTCGTTTCCTGTCGGAAATTTCGAATACCCAATTCTTCTTGCCTGGGAATTACATAATCCGTTCGTGGGAATTTCACGCTGCTTTTTATGTGATGTTGTTGTTTAATTAACGACTGGCGAAAAACCGTTAATGAATCGATTTTCGGTTAAAATTGCAATTTTCTCTCATTGCCAAACGAGTTACGCTCCCCGCGTCATGTCTTTCTTTATATCTTCAGGTTGATGTATCTTTCGGTATAAAATCCTGTTACGAGTAACCGTTGTTGCGAATCTTTTCCACGTAATTTATGAATATGCAACGGACGTGTATTGGTTTGGTCTATGTGTATGTTTGCGTGTGTGAGTTCGCGCGCGAACCGAAGACAAACGCCAGAACCACCCGATTGTGACTCACACCGTTTCTCTTATGCAACTCGATTAATATTAATTCGAATCGGCGACAGAGAAAATGCATAATGATCGTAAAGCTAGGACCTTGCTGCAACTGTCTTCAAGTCACTGACTTTCCGCATTACCATGTCACAATCTAACGTATTAATACATATATTATAAACGTTTAACATGTTAACTTCCCTGGGCCACGATGAAAAAAACTCGATAACGATAGTTATAGGTATTTTGAGTCGATGCTTGTGCATCGATGATTCAAACAATTTAGAAGATTCTAACAAAACTGAATCAGCTATGACCTTAATTAATAAGACATATTTATAAAAGGCTATGAAACAAATGCGACTTGAAAGAAAAGAAAACGTAGAATGACACTAATAGCACCAAATAATTAGTTTCAAACTTGTTTCTAGTAGTTGTATAAGTCTGATAACGGCGAATAGTAGAAAGCGTTTCGTGAATTAGTTACAAGAAAAAGCGGAGTCAACGTTTAAATGCATTAAAGGATTCCCTATTGTGTACTAATGCGTTCGCGGAATGGGCCAAGTTTCCTCTACTCCTCTTTCATTCACATTTTGTTTTTTGTGTTTGTTTTCTTTGTCCGACGTTGTATTTGGTCTTGCTTGCTCTTATTTTGCCGTATTCGTACACGTGTACTTGTTCTTCGACTGAACAACACGATTATATCATTTAAATCTCATTACGTTTCTTGCACTTCTTTTCTTTTTTCACGTGCCAAATCTTCAGCCATTGTTCCTTCGACTCTTATCGCACTTTCTTCGCCATAAGAAGAAACAGTTCTCGATTAAATCATTGCATTAAACAGTTATCACCAGAAACAAAATAAAGTTATTACTGTAATTGTAATGACAATTTTCATGTTTAATATAAAATTTGCGAATCTCATTTCATTTAATAAAAGTAAAAATACAACATTTTAATTACTATATTTAATTATTGAAACTTTAGTATGTAGTATATATACTTTTTATGTATCTAATAAACATAACTTACCCTTAATTATAAGAGTTTCTAATCTTGTAGTAGATGTAGAAGAATCTGCAACAAAATATAAGAAAATTTAGAAGATAAAGTCTATAAAAGTTCCGTTTAATTGATATTGAAACAATTAAGGATTTCGCGGAATGCGAAATTAAAACATCGATTGCAAAAATAAAAAGAAGATGATTCAGGTATGTTCAACGAAGATGCCTATGCTAATCGAATGAAAATGAAGATCGCAGTCGAAATGGCTCAATATAATTTCTGCGCGGATCCATTCCGTTTATGTTTACTGTGGGAATGTTTCGAGCAAACCGAAAACAATAACTATATAAGCATGACACAAGTATGGATGAGGAAATAATAAGGCGGAGAAGACAAGAAGTGCGATGCATGAACCTTCCGTCCGTCCGTTAATAATATAAATAAAGCATTTAATTCGTGCGCGCCGTGTAATTGAATCCTCGATACAGATAATATACGAGAGATTCAATTTAATATCTTAATTATTATTAATAGAGAGCAAGTACGCTCGGGTCGCCTTCTTTCGCTTCCTCGTTATTAAGTGAACAGTAAAAACCAGTTGATAGGAACATAAATTTGACAGTTGCACGACGCTCCCTCTAGATAACAATCTGGATTTAGTTGTTTTGTCCACTATCACAGCATTCATATAGTTTTAAGTCCAAATACTATTAAGTTATATTCTCAAAAACTTAAAACTCATGTACGTGTTTTCATCCACTTGACAAGCAAAGATATATAGTACAGTGGAACCTCGCTTAACGAGTTTAATCCGTTCCAAATTTCCGGATTTTTACTCGTATAGTGAAGCACATTCAAAAATACACATAATATACACAGGTGGGCAATCCGGGACTTCTCTTCACATCTTCACTCGTTATTCGAAACGTCGCTCGTTAAGCAAGTCATTTTTTTTACAATTCATTTTGCTCGTTAAGCGAGGTTCCACTGTATATAGTATTAATAGAAACAGCTAATAAATGAACATTACATCATGACTATCCAAAATTTGAAAATGTACGGTAAATAATTTCAGTTGCAAAAACAAATTGAATGCAAATGCGATTTATTTGAATTTTTTTATAAGATTTATAAGAGATTTCTAAGAAATCATACATATAAATATTATTTTAATGAAATAATTAGTAAAATTACATTAAATTTAATTTTCCGATAAAAATTTCTTGGAAATCTACATTTATTCGATTCACTGCTTCAGACTAGTGAACAAATTTAAAAATTTGTACAACTATAAAATTTGGTTCATTTTCAAACTGAAACACGGTCATTAATAGAAAGCAATAGAAATGCAGCGACGACAATTTAGTTCATATATGTAAACATATTGTAGCTGCAGAAAAAAAATGTAATTTAAGCTGAAAAATAGGAATACATAACATAGGGAAATCCGAACGAGAGAAGTTTGTGAGAAAGAAAAGAGAAACAATGGCGTAACGAATTTGCAAGCTCCTGAGAAACGTTTCAGAAAACAATAATCTTTACAAAACATTTTTCATCAAACGCAAGATATTAGCAATACCACTGAAATTAGTACGCAATTAGTGTTATTACTTAATTTGCGATACATTTTTTGAATATTACCAAAAAAAGGTTTATTACGTTTTCATATATTGCAATTGAATCTATAGCTTATACAATTGTAATTTTTAAAACTATGGAAGCTGTATTTGACCTACTTTATATTTCGCGCATCAGTATTTTTATTTGTATTATTATAATTTAAGTTATAAGATCATTTTCATATGTGAAAATCAATTCATCAATGTGAACATTAAGTAAATTTAAGATCGCTGTTGACATTATGTCCACCACATAGGACATAATGGTATTTTTTAGTTTTAATTTGTATGTTGGCTGTCGTCTGTAGGTTAACTTCAGTAGTATATTGATGATCTGCAATTCCACTACTTCCTTTGACTATGCTATCCTTAACCCTCTGATTGTCCATCGACTTGGCTGAAGTTCCATATGCTGAACCTCATTATGAGAGGGCTCACAAAGGGCCTGGCTTTGACCATGATTCGAACCGTCACCAGTTCGATCGTGGGTAGGGCGACTTAACCATTCAGATATTAGTCGCCCTAAAATATATTCTTGAAATTATTATTAATACTAAATTTTCTCTTATTAGCTATTAGAAATGAAGAGATTTGGGAATATAGTTAAAAGTTTTAGTATTTATCTGATTATGCATGCATGTATCAAGACTTTTCCTGTCTGAATTTCTCATGCGCACAAAGTTGTCATATGTCAAGCAGTACCACGAGGCTCCAGCATTGTCCCAACTACGCCTATCCGCATAATTGACCCAGGCGAATTCGGGCCTTGAATCAACGACAACACAAACAACAAGCGCGAATGATTATTAATGACATAATCGCCGGGCCCTGTTTCCAATCTGGTAATTATAAATTATCGAAGGCACGTTTTGATTTACGACGAGTCGCCCTGCTCCGATTGAATCAATGAACCGTTTTGTAATGCTTCTCTCCAGATTGCTCTCTTTCTGTCTGCTGCACGGTTCATAGATTAATCTACGGCTCTCTGTCTCACTACATCTTCTTCAAATCATATTCAAACGACGTGACGCAAGACTGCCGTACGCTATCTCGCCGGTGCGTGGAATTAATTGGGAGCCGAGTAGTAATTAATTTGTATTCCCAATGAATATTATCTATATTGTCGTTTTGCTTGTTGCTCGTTCCTTGTTCGTATGTGCGGCTCTGTTTCTTCCTCTTGTACAAATGTTGTTGTTGCTGCTGCTGCTGTTGTTGTTCAGTTATCCGAACGCGAGTGCGCTAATAAGCATCAAGATACTGTTTTCCGATGGAGAAGGTAAACGACATCACCGCAACGAACCGAAACTACTATTCCCTTCTCATTGCCTCTCAATCTTCGATATCATATCGAAATAAGTTTCATTTACCTCTATCTATTTTTTTTTCTTTCCCTCTCTCTCTGACTGTCGCCGCTTGTTTATTGCTCCTTGTTTACTCCTCATTAGTACAAACTCATTATAACATCATTAAGAAACGTTAGCTTGCAATTTCATACTTTTTTTTTACATATTCCTTGGCTTCGTTTAACTATTAGATAACGTCTTACAGATACAACATTTAATTATTAATTATTGACAGTTTAGCTGCGCATTGGTTGCTTATTATGAAGATATGACATAATTATAAACACACAACAAATAGTCAATAAAATCATTAAATTATTGGATTATTTAATATTGTAACGCAGCGTTTTCCAAACTGGAAGGCGCGGACTAGTCTAAGGGGAGATGCGAATATTAGTCACAGTGAGCAATTTCCAAATGACTGCTAAAGTTTTATCTATTTTATGAAATGTACGGGGACAGGGAAGGCGCCAAATGATTAAATATTTTTGATTTTTTAAGCAAAATCATCCTAAGCGATGAAGCACATTTTCACCTTGATGGCTTTGTTAATCGCCAAAATTGCCGCATTTGGGGTCCGGAGAACCCACATGTGATTGTCGAAAAACAAATGCATACACAGAGTGTCACTGTTTGGTGCGGATTTTGAGCTGGAGGCATCATTGGACCATACTTTTTTGAAAATGAGACTGGTCAAGCAGTGACTGTTACTCGATATCGCGACATGATAACACACTTCTTTCTGTCTCAGTTGGATGATATTGATATAGACGACATGTGGTTTCAATAAGATGGTGCCACATGCCATACAGCCCGTAAAACAATTCAATTACTGCATGAGACATTTCTTAGTCGTGTACTCTCGTGTACACTCGTTTTGGTGATCAGAATTGGCCTCCTAGATCTTGTGATTTAACACCATTAGATTTGTTTTTATGGGGTTATTTGAAGTCAAAGGTCTATGTCAACAAGCCCACAACCACCCGTGCATTACATAAATAAATTAAACGCTGCATCAACGATATTCAGCCACATTTATGCAAAATAGTCATGGAAAATTTCGATAAAAGAGTGCGTATGTGCCAGAAAAGCTGTGGAGTCCATTTGCCCGATGTTATTCCACAAATAACCTATGTATTTTATGATTCAATAAAAAAATCACAACTTGAAGACTAAAGTGTTTTCTACTGTGTTTTCTATTTAATTCAAATCTATCGTTAATTTTGGGACACACTTTATATAATTATTATTTTAATAGTCATACTGTTTCCAATTAAAATTGATTTGCATAACGTTTTTCTATAATTCACAATTTGACAGCTGTCATTTCGTGACCCACCATATTTGTGTATAGTTGTATCAATTGCTAAGAGTTTTTCAACAGTTGATTGCTTTGACACAAGGTCACAGCTGTCATTTTGCCAATCATTAAGAATCCATAGGTTGGGAATCGTTGCTGTACATTATAATGATTCATAAGAAAACCATATATAATATATGGGTCTATATCGCAAACCCGACAACGTTCAAAATCACGACTGTATCAAAATCCCGACTTTATCGAAAATTTCTACAATAACATTTTTAAATTTTTTCGGAGCGTAGTCACCTTGTGCTACACTTTTATTATTAATAATAATAAATTATTATTAATTTATTTGATTTTGTTGAATTATTCATAATAAACCTTAACTTTATGAAATAATCTCAAATACAATTAGATTATTAATTTTTGTTAATTATTATTAATAACAATTTAAAAGTGATTACGCTCCGGAATAATTTAAAAATGTTATTGTAGACATTTTCGATATAGTCGGGATTTTGATACAGTCGGGATTATGGTTGTCGGGATTTTAATATAGTCGGGATTTTGATATAGTTGGGATTATGGTTGTCGGGGTTTTCGATACAGTCGGCATTTCAAACGTATCACTGCTAAAACAAGATGGTTAAGTCTATTGTTATCTATAATTAGTTATATATATTAGTTATATAAATGTGTAAAGTAGCAATAAAACGAAGGAAACAAAGAAGCATCAGGAATGATTTGTATGCGTGCGCGGCGTTGCCGGATTATAAATAAATAAATAAATCGGTAGCATGTTTT